TTGAAGCCATTCCACTGCCTTTGCGTGTGAAGCAAAAAGATATCTCTTTGGTTTTCTGATTTCTGTGTCGTCTGATGAACATGATTCACCCGATGTGGGGCTCGAACCCACGACCACAAGGTTAAGAGCCTTGCGCTCTGCCGACTGAGCTAACCGGGCACAGCAACTGATGTCAGAGATACAGAAATGTTCCCGGAGGTCGTACCGGTAGGAGCCGGTCGTCGCATCTTGCCAAAATAGAATGATCATGTTTCCCCCAGTGACCCCCCTCGTGTGGTTCCTCTTTAGGGTTTATTTAGGTCTTAGGGTGCACGACTGGGGTTGTGTACATATTAGGGGTTTGTTGGGGGTTGGGGTTTACCGGTAGGATCCTACCGGTACGAGCTCGTAGGACCCTAGCTTTGGGGTTTGGGGGGCGGGGGGGGACATTAAGGGGGGACGAGGGGGGCGGGGGGGGACATTGAGGGTTGAGGGTTATGAGCCTCTGGGAGGCACAACAAGCAAAAACTTATCTCGCTGAGAAGCTTTGATGTATCGACTGGTGATGTCATTTTTCACCCGATGTGGGGCTCGAACCCACGACCACAAGGTTAAGAGCCTTGCGCTCTGCCGACTGAGCTAACCGGGCTAGTCAGCTAAGATGCAGGTTATGATCCTGCGAGTGTATCTGAATGAGACTCAATATGGGGCTCTCAGGAGCGAGATAGAGGTTTATTGGAGGTTCGCCTGACGGGTGATTCCAGGTGGTTGTCGCTCAGAAAGTGACGGAGGCAGTACAAACACGCCGTGTCATCATCCGCCAAAAGACTGCTTTGCGTGAGACGAGTTTAAGGTGGTTATGATCCTCTGGGAGGCAAAAAGTGCAAAAACATATCTCGCTGAATAGCTTTGATGTATCGACTGGTGGTGTCATTGTCACCCGATGTGGGGCTCGAACCCACGACCACAAGGTTAAGAGCCTTGCGCTCTGCCGACTGAGCTAACCGGGCTGGTCAACTGAGATGATATCATTGCTGACTATACCGTAAATATACCCAACTCAAATCTTGTCTTGTCCAAGAATTTAAAGAAATGTCGTAATGGGTACACTCCCGAGGACGTGACGCTCAGAGCGCAGTACAAAAAAGTATGATCGGCACACACACTCCAATTTTCCCGCTTCCATCTTCAACTTTTTCACGACAAAACAGGGGTCACGTGACCTTGATTGAGGCGAAAAAACTTCAAAAAAGGCAAAAAGAAGGCGGATGACAAACAACGTCAAGCAATTAATTGCCGTGAGCGGGATTTGAACCCGCGCCATCAGAAGATGAGGAGAACTTGAGTCTCGCCCCTTAGACCACTCGGGCATCACGGCTTGCTGCCTTCGTTGAGATCAGTCAACTTGTGTCGAGGCTGGAAACAGCGTTTTTATACCAGGGTTCGGGATTTGCCGAGGACGTGATGAGGTCATGATGAGGAAATCCTTGACGGAGACCTGGATCCCGGGGGCCGTGGGATGGGCCCTCATCAGATGGGCCCTGATCACCTCTGTCACGACAATCCCAGCAGAGAGCAAGGGGTTCTGGACAACGGGATCGATTGAGAGCCCCGTGGACGATCCGTCGCAATGCAGCCTGCCCCGGCTTGCTACGGCGTGGGAGACGGGCAGGTCCTCTGCTGCTCGGAAGCTCTACGCCCGCCAGCGGCGGCGGCGACGGCGCCTCTCTGGCACAAGGCCCCCCCTCGCTCCTCATCTCCGCGCCGCTGTCCTCCAAGAGATGGGCAATGCCTCGCGCGCGGCGGGTTTGGACATCACCTCGCTCCTCCAGACAACCAAGCTGGAGGACGTGAGCAACGCCATGTGCCAGAAGCGCGACATCGTCATGGAGCCAAAAGGCCACCACCGAGGTGATCACTGAGCATCCTTCACCGCCTCCCCGCGCTGCACTGCCCTGCCTTGGCCCCCTTTGGCCTCCGCGCCTGCCACCCTCCCCCCCTCCCTCCCTCCCTCCCTCCATCCCAGCCAGCCAGCCAGCTTGGTGCTTTCGGTTGTCATGATCGAGCCAGCCGCTCCCTGTGCAGGATGACCTGGCGAGGAAGCAACGATCCAGGATCCTACGACTTCCGCCAGGCCATACTAGACGTGAGGACCTCCCCGCCTCCGCACCCCTCAAGGCTTGCGAATCTCTAGAGAGTGGGAGAGCGAGCGAGCTGTGCCGTGGCAGCCCAGCGGGGAGAGAGAAGTTGCATTGAAAGTCACCTCGCCTTCACGCTGCACACAGTAGATCGCAATGCTCTCATGCGGCTGCCTCACTGTCTCTCCACAGCGCACCAGCGTAGGAGTCACCCTCCTGCACACAGCCCTGCCTTGGGACGCCTTGGCCTCGGCGCCTCCCTCCCTCCCTCCTTCCCTCCCCCCCTCCCTCTCGATCTCCCTCCTCCCTCCCTCCC